TTATTTAATTATATACATAATAATTTATACTAATTTATGAATTCAATATATAATAATTTGCAATATATAATAATTTATAATATGCTGATGAAGGCTTAAGAGTTAGCCGAAACGTCTTGCTAAAATATACAAGTCAGTGACAAAAACAGGCACTTTTATCGATTATATAAAAACGTATAATTATGTAATATAATTTTTAATATACAATATTTAAAAGTGCTACCTCTTTACTAATGACAGTGTGATGAGTAAACTCAAAGAGAATTTTGAGATTGTTAACCCCACAAAAAAGGAACAAGAAGAAAAAAAATAAAGACACTAAAATTTTCCCTCATTTTTTGTGTCACGAGAAGCTGTAATCAGCATTTCTAGGGCACTCAATTTACCTCTACTTCTAACACCTTTCAGGCTAATAAAACATTTCAAAAACCTGTTTCACTTTTCTCTAACAGTAAGCACCAACGATCAAACTTCTTTCATGTTACTGAAATCAAAGAATGTTTGATTTACACAATTATAAAAGGTTTCTTAGATCTCTTTGATAGGTTCTGTATCAAGGTCAAGCCGTCGATACTGACTCTTATAAACAAGAAGTAAAGGAACACAAAATGCAATGCCACCAACACTAACCCAGTTCATCCACTGGACATCAGACCTAGGAAACATGAAGGCTGCATCAAACAGGAATATCACAGAATTAGCAAGGACAAGCCCCACGCCGACAGATGTCCCCTCCCCTACTGGGAACACACACTCCATGATCAGTTCGAACACTAGTGGAATGGTGCCATTGAACAACAGTCCACTGCAGATGATGGAAGCAAATAAAAGTCCCTGGAAGAAAGGTAAGATTCTTGCACAGGTCATTGTGAAGATCAGCTGACAGACAACAGTGCCAATGAACAGACCCACAAGGATTTGCTTGGTCCACCGCTTCACAACATCTGCTGACCTACAGAGAGATGTGAACTGCTACTTTAGGTCATGTTAATAATTCAGCTCTAATAATTATAATAATTCAAAGATGTTGGTACCCTGACAAAACAGTTGTCTTGATAGTGTCACAGAGTGTCCAACTGACCTAATAATGTTAGTACTGTCAATATTTCAGATGCTTAAAATTTTGGATGCTTTTCTGCAAGTGATGTATGTAAATGGGTCCCAGNCAAGGCTTATCTCGCAGTTCGAAATTGGAACCGTACGCGAACCCGCCCAGTCAATGTTCTGCTCAAACGAAAGCTTGAAAGCAAAGTTGCTCGCACGACTTTCTGGTTAACAGTTTTCGTTGGTGTCTCGACTGTGCCGATCTTCCTCGTTCATCTCTTTCAAGGAGCTTTACCTTTTTTCCGCCAAATTTCCACTATACGATGGACCGAAACAATACTTCAGTTAAACTCCCTGTTCAGCCCACTTTTGTACTGGTATAGAAACTGCCGCTTAAGGGAAGCGACATTGGCGCTGTTAAGGTGCAGAAACATACCAGCAGCTCGCACTGCACGTCACATAAGACAACGTCGATATTCCGTGGCATCGCTAGACGTTGAAAAGCTTCAAAACGAGCGAGGGGGCGCTCGATTATTAAGGTCAGATTCTCTCGGTGCTATGACGTGCTTAGATACCTTTCGGCAGAGGCGGAATGAGGCAGTGAAGAAAAGACCCATGTCAGCTCCATCGAGGGTAGCGAACGACCAGATATTCACACAACAGGGCAACCAACTAATTGTTACAGTTAAGATTGAAAATACCTCAGGAGAGAAAGGCATTCAGCGCAAAACTGAATTAGCGAAAAACGCCACGGAGCTTGGACGATCAAGGCCTCATACCGGTGGTAAAATTGTGCGATCAAGTTCATTGAATGAAAACTCTTTTGTGCCACTCGCTAAACGTCCTCAGAATGTGACACAGAGGAATGTCCAGAGATCCAGGTCAGTGCCAATAATGCTAACAAACTTAAACGAACCGGCCGAAGGGCAGAATAACTGGGGTTTAGATTGGACAGTTAATTGTCCTATGGTGCAGCATAAAAAAGTTAAAATGGAATGAAATGGATGAATAGGACAGACACTACCATATTTTTATAACTAGCAGTAATCAAAGGTTAGAGCAGTGCATTCACGCGGCGTACTTTGTATGTTTGGTCTACTTTGGTGGCGTTCGAAAGGCTCGTTAGAAAACTAAGTTTGATCGAAGGTCAGATAACGATCTGCACATGAAATTGAACCAGCGATGAATAGATTATAGCCCGTGGTAAAACTGTTTTTAATTAATTAAGTATTATTTTGTACCGGACAAAATATTTTCCAGGAAAGGTATTTGAACTGTTGGCGACACTTCGAATTCAATTTCAGACCGCCAACACTTGTAGCAAATCTTTCTTGAGAAAATAAAGTTTTGACCAGCGACCTTGCCAAATGTTTTTAAATTGTTTACATTGCTCGAATTTACATCTTGTTTTCACAAATGAAAAAGGTGAATTAACCATTCTGACCACAAAACACGACCTTTTAGCGAGTTACACGACAAGGAAAGTTTGTTTTCTGACAACCAATTATGGCCACAACGAATTTGCCAAGCGACAAATCGGAAAATTTATTTTCTGACCACGGATCTGAGGGAGTAACTGCAGAACACCCGGCCACTCGAAGTTGTACCCCCGAAAAATCTGGATACGCGGCTACCCAGTTTGTGCAGTCGCAGGCTATTTTTTCACGTTTTTAGAACGAGAAATACACACATTACATTGGTACATTGCTACGTGGCTACGCGGCTACGTTGGCGTCGAAGGCGAGCGGGTCAGAATCACAACGCCAAACTACAGCTTTGCAAAAATTATACACACTTTCTACTTTCTTCGAATCTATACGCATTCTCGTCCCAAGAGGCCGCGCTCCTTTTGGTCAGCACCAAGAATCGCGACCTCTCAGGTCCAACACCGGAAGTCCGGGATTCACGGACTTCCTGTCAAATGTGATAAATCTGATTGGCTGAGAATCATTCTCGTCCCCAGACGCCGCGCTCCTTTTAGTCAGCACCAAGAATTGTGACCTCCAGCTCGACCCGATTTTCTGAGCACACGCAGAGTATTCGTTTTGTATTCGCAACCAATCAGATTTGTCAGATTCTACGGGAAGTCCGTGAATCGCGGACTTCTGGTGTTGGACCAGCCGAGGTCTCGATTCTTGATGCTAACAAGAAGGAGCGCGGCCTCTAGGGACGAGAGTAATCTACACGGCGAATACGAGTCTGCGTGCATGCGCTCATGATGTAATTTGCCCCTGCTGTGGGGGGCCAAATCGTTGAACAAATCCGTCCCAAAAAATCTCAGTACAGACTGGATTAGGATTGGGTTACAGTACGTGAACGCAATGATAGGTAAGTAGGTTGAGTCTGCAGACGAGCCAAGAGGCTTATCAGACTTCATCATAGCCAATTTTGTGACGCGAGTTTTGCCGCTCCATTTCGCTCGATTTCAGCCCGGTGCCATATGTGCGTTGAGTTTGCTCTTGGTTCACCCCCTGCTCCGAGGCTTTTTCGCCGGGCACTCCGGTTTTTCTCCCTCCTCAAAAACAAACATCTCCAAATTCAAAATATTAAATTTGAAAAGAAAATAGACAAAAACCCACTAAATGCAGATCAGTCAAATATTTATTCAAGCGCACAGCCTGTCACAAATGTTTGAGAAAAATTTTCAAATTCAGTATTTCACTCTCATTTGAACTTTCATCCGGGTATTTTCCTCAGACGGGCACTATGGACAGATAGTGTCTCTCCACCGATAAACACCATCGCGTCACGTGTGCCAATTTAGACCAATAAGAATCGGATAAAATTTAGTGGTGAAGTATAAGAGGCGATAGTTAATGAGGCCAAAGCGCGAATCAACTATCCAGTAACATTTCGAAATCTTCCTCGGAACATTAGAGAAGCTAGAAGACGTTGCCATTATGTGTATGACCTCTGGCCACTGCACTCTAACAAACAATAAGATTATGAGCTCGAGATTTCTATCACGCATAGAAATCAAGGGCGAATAATCCAACTGTTTCAACATAAATATACTAGTCGTTCAAAACTTTATCGAAATCCTCTTCACGGACACTTCGAAAACGCCGTTAAGCGGCCGTTATTTTGTTTGCAAGGGCGCACTTCTACGCTACTCACTATCTATCACAGAATGGTGGGTAGCGCAGCCAATCAGAGAACGGCATTCGTGATAGAACGGTAGTAAATTTATACTAATGGCTGATAGCATGTATACAAGTAGCTCAGTCAATCATTTGCATAAGTATACTAGTAGAATTCTACTAAACTACAGACTATTTTCAGCCAAATCATTCGCTGTCATAGCTTGTCATCGTCTCTAGATCTTGGTAGGCACCAATTCCAGGTGTCCGTATCAATTCTCTGCCACACATGACAGGCTCCATAAAGTCACCATTCTGGTATGACCCAGGCTTACCTCTGTCATTAGTATGAACTGATTATTAGCCTTGGGAGGGGGGGGGGGATCCCTTATAAAAAGGACGGGGGTACTAGTCATAAATTTTGAAAAAATTCCCTAAGAGGTATCAAGATCCTGTTTTGAGGGCGTGGATTGGAATTTTTTTCACACTTCAGAGGTACCAAATCTAAAACGACTAATATCTCCTGTCATATTTTCTTTCCGGCTCAATACCCTAAAAGTACCTCAAAAACTCCAGCTGTGTACCTTTCGAGGCTGAACACCCTAAGAGGTACCAAAACTGCGTTTTTAACCCCTAAAAGGTGCGATTAGCATCCCTGTCCTTTTCATATGGGAGTCCCCCCGTGGGGTCATCACCCCCTTTGCCCCCTCCACTTGACTGACCACTCTGATTTGTTGACTGAAACAAGAAGTTCACTCGAGAGCCAAACGAAGAAATGTTCTTTAATTAACGAGAACCAACAAACAGTTGACAACTAAGAATAATTTCATTCATTTTAAGTCCTTACTATAAAATATTTCACAAGTAAAGTGTTTTTCTTTAATTATGTACATGATAATTCATACTAATTTATGAATTTAATATATAATAATTTATAATATGGAAAATCATACATATTTAAAGGTGCTACCTCTTTACTGATGACAGTGTGATTAGTAAACTCAAAGAGAATTTCGAGATTGTTAACCCCACAAAAAAGGAACAAGAAGAAAAAAATAAAGACACTGAAATTTTCCCTCATTTCTGGTGTTACGAGAAGTTGTAATCAGCATCTCTAGGACGCTCAATTGACCTCTACTTTTAACACCTTTCAGGCTTATAAAACATTTCAAAAACCTGTTTCACTTTTATCTAACAATAAGCACCAACGATCCAACTTCTTCCATGTTGCTGAAATCAAAGAATGTCTGATTTACACAATTACAAAAGGTCTCTTAGATCTCTTTGATAGGTTCTGTATCAAGGTCAAGCCGTCGATACTGACTCTTATAAACAAGAAGTAAAGGAACACAAAATGCAATGCCACCAACACTAACCCAGTTCATCCACTGGACATCAGACCTAGGAAACATGAAGGCTGCATCAAACAGGAATATCACAGAATTAGCAAGGACAAGCCCCACGCCGACAGATGTCCCCTCCCCTACTGGGAACACACACTCCATGATCAGTTCGAACACTAGTGGAATGGTGCCATTGAACAACAGTCCACTGCAGATGATGGAAGCAAATAAAAGTCCCTGGAAGAAAGGTAAGATTCTTGCACAGGTCATTGTGAAGATCAGCTGACAGACAACAGTGCCAATGAACAGACCCACAAGGATTTGCTTGGTCCACCGCTTCACAACATCTGCTGACCTACAGAGAGATGTGAACTGCTACTTTAGGTCATGTTAATAATTCAGCTCTAATAATTATAATAATTCAAAGATGTTGGTACCCTGACAAAACAGTTGTCTTGATAGTGTCACAGAGTGTCCAACTGACCTAATAATGTTAGTACTGTCAATATTTCAGATGCTTAAAATTTTGGATGCTTTTCTGCAAGTGATGTATGTAAATGGGTCCCAGCAACTGTTTTAAGAGTATCCTGTGTTTTTTAGCGTGGAATACATATAGCTGCTTAATTTAAATAATACCTAGTGCAATACCTTAATCACAAACGAGAAAAGAAACTGTTTGAAAAGAAAGAAGACATTAATGTCAGTTGCAAGTACTTTGTTGTAAAGTAAATACAGAAGTATCCTCTATGCACTGATGCAATTTGGGCTTATCACACACAACCAGACATTTAATAACATCAACACCAAAGGCTAAGAAGGAAAACACTTTTAAAATTTTTTTTCTTTCCCCCAAAAATAAACGCAGTGGAGCTGCACAAAATGCTGAGTATTATCATATTGGTAGAGGTATTGCACGGTCTCATACAGAAGCTAAGATAATTGAGCCCAGCCATTAACTTAGCCATTCACCCAATCTAATTGTAAACCAGGAGCCCACTTTTCTTTTGTTCAGCTCCAAGAAATGGACTCTGGCCAGTACTAAATGTTTAGGCATACTGTTTAGGCAGACTGTTCATTTTTGATTTTTAGCCAGTCAACATTAGGCTGAGAAGACCATAAATGTAAATCCGTGTATCACAGACTTTCAAATCGGTACTGGCCACAAGTCCAGGCTAGATCAAAAGACAAGTGGGTTCTGACAGGCCCTAAGACTGTTATTTACCTTGCAATGATTATCCCTGAAATAATTCCAGCCAGGCTGCCACCAGTTCCTAGCCATCCTGAAGTATTTTCGCTGATATTAAATGGCTGAACAGCAAGATCCAGGACTGATGTCCAACCAAAGTAAATACCAAATGATGCAGCCAAAACAAACACAAGCAGCCAGTATGACTGATTTTTTATTAACAGTTTTAAACCTTCTACATAGCCAATCTCTGTCACTTTTCTTGTTAATGCTGCTTTGCTTGGTGGTAGAGGTGGCTTTGAGGGAAAGTACACAGCAACACAGCCAAATAGCAATGCCGCAAGTCCTGTCTGTAAATAAAAGTAGTACCTAAGTCGTGCTTCAATGAACCCTATGTCCTTGTCTGTCAGATTGAGGTTACTGTTCCCTGGGTTATCAAATGTCTTGGGTATCATTGATGGTCCTATAAAAAATGCCAATCCCGCACCAAAGTTGGCAGCCAAAGTTCCAATAGCTGTCGCAGTTGTTCGTTCATTTGGAGGAAACCAGGTGCTTGACACCAAAGGAGGAGCTCCGTTTGCTATGAAGCTCGGAAGCATGGTGACAAGATGGCCAACATAAATGAACACAGTCTTCACTGTCATGTCACTGAAAGGAATCACTTGAATTGCTTTCCCAGCAAGTAACATTAGAGAAGTCACGAAAACAGATGCCCTTAGCCCTGCAAGAAAGGCGATAATGATGAACGTGAATATAGAATCTTACAAATGTGCACATTCTGATAAGCTCAAAATTTCATATCTATAATTATGTCTACAGTCCTAATGAACCACAAAATTTCATCTGAAATCATTACCATGTGCATTTGGTAGACAATTGGCTTTTGTGTTGGTTGCTCTACTTTTTGCTGCTACACCGTACAGACTCAATACAAAACAAGTTTCTACTGCTTAAATTACAGAGATGCAGAATAGGGTCTTTCCATTCTGATTGTGTTCTTTGGCAAGACACCTCACCTGTAGGCATGTTCATAATTTGGACTCGTGATCTGGGAAGTCAAGTGAAGAGGCAAGGGAAGAAGTGGGAAAAGTATGCCACTAGAATATTAAATAAGCAAAATAAAATTATCTCCCACGGCCAGATACTGTGCGCACTGTGATTGGCCAATTTAGCAGGCCAAATTCTACATATAATGTATAGCCTGTATAGTTGTTTTTTTGCCAAAATGTCTTGAGAGTTATTACCAAGTGTTCTTTACAGTGACGGCAAATACATGTGTAAACCTTTTCATTTTCTTGAAATGTTCATGACACGTCAAGTGAAGAAGCAAGGGAAGAAGTGGAAAAGTATGCCACTAGAATATTAAATGAGCCAAATAATATTATCTCCCACTGTATTTAAAATGTGCTTCATACATAGCAACTTGTTTAATATTTGACATAGTCGGTCATTTGAGGCAGAATGACTTGAAATAGTTTCCTGAACCTATTACACTCACAGTAGGGATGTAATAAATATCTAATCAAATAGAAACATTAACATTGCCCCACCACCTCCTGCCTGGGCATTTGAAATTTTCTCGTGTCCTGAGAGGGGAGGGGTAGGGGTAGGGAAAATTTTGCATTGAAGTCATAGTCAAGCTAGAAATCTTCAAGAGACAACACATTTCTTTGAAGTGTTGTTGCTGGAAAAGAATGGCATATAAAAGCTTTTTGCTGTTTGATTAGGTAGGCAAAATGTTCTGCTTGTGAACATTTACTCAGTTGCATATTTTATGCTGAGCCCCTCCCAGGGGTTTTAGGGAACATGGGAACAGGAGCATTTATTTTAAGGGAACAGGGGATATTGTCAATTTATTTTCAGGGAACAAGGGAACTCCTGATTAGATTGTTGGGATCAAGGGAACACTAATCTACTTTCAATTATAATTTTTTCAAAACATTTCGAGCCCCGTCAATATAAACTAGGTGTGTCAGAGGTCTCAGTTTTCACTTGAGTGTTATTTTGGGAAATTATGTTTGTTTCTGCCATATGGCAAAAATCAAGATGGCTGAAAAAGATGTTGATAATGTTACAGCTGATCATGACACAGCTCGATCGAAGCAATCACAGTTGACCCAATTACTGTATGGAACAATTTATAACAATGGGCAGGAAAACCTACCAAGAGAGAGCTTTGAACTTGCAGGATTAAGTGTATTATTTTGGAGATAAGCTTATTGGCACCACAGCTGAGGCACAAGACCCTCAAGGAACTGTCTCAGTCTGTTGTTATGGAAGAAGAAAGGATCCTGAAGTCTCTGCATAACATCAATGACCTACATCATCTTAATCTACCCCTCACCACCAAATTTAGTATTAAAAGTCTTTTAACACTTGTTGTTGAGAACACATTTACAAAAACGAGTAGCGGTGCCACTGACATGTCCCTACAGGTTGAACCAATTACAGATTCATCAGGATAATCAAGGAACGGTCAAAAAGGCAGTGTTTCACACTACTTGCTTACTTCACAGCTCCCAAGTCCTACTACCTACACAGGTTTTGACCACAACACATTCCAAGGATTTACTCAAGTTTTTCCCTCCAAAGGCACACAAACTATCTGAAAAGCAGGTGAATGAAATGAGAAACTGGAGAGCAATGCATGGTCAGAGCGTCCTCCAGAAAACAGTGCGAAACATGACAACAAAGGACAATTCAGCAACTCTCCCTGTAAATCTGTATGTGGCCAACTCTCCGACTGTAGAGCCTCTAGTATAGATTTCACTGTGCTGAGTAAAGCAGCAGTGGTTTTGGTGCCACATAGCAAAACAACAGAGACTTTGTACAAACTAAGCCAGATTGTCTGTGTAAAAGTTGATTCCAGTGGTTCTCATCCATTGTAATAATAGCCAGCTGTCTGTGAGATAACGTGAGTGTCACCATGAAAAGGGTGAAAACCAAAGTGTTCATTTGAGATCCTTTCAGTTCAGCTGCTGTTCACCAAAGATGCAGAGAGATTGTCAACATTGTCTACTATAACTACCATCATGATATCTGAGAGCTTGAAGAAGATGGATGTGCTTCAACATACCAAATCTGTCACTATCACAGAGGCAGCTGAGATCGTTGAGATGACAGAAACTGCAGTCAATGAAGTCAGCTGACTGTCGGTCGACTATTGGCTGATTGTCCGCATATGATTGACATATGACCTCATGCAGAAAAATGACAGCGACATTTGCTACTGCAGGTAAGAAAACATCGGTACACAAAAGGATAAGACATGCGGCACCGCTACCCCCCCTTGGAAGGCCTCAAAGATGGGAGCCGTTGTTCACTACTACCGTTTTTGATACACTGTCCGTGAGTAGTCGATAAAAACTCGATCATTGGCGAGAGAAGCAGGGGCTTTGCTGGTCGTTCAGTAACAGTTTGGTACCACCATATAAATCCGAAATGAGAAGGCCGGTAGACGTTCGATTATCGCTCGTGTAAAACCGAGAGAAAATGAATATTATACGTTCAAATGTTTTTTTTACTATGAACATCGGACTTACTTCTGTTCAACTATCAGTCAGAGAAGACCGAATAGTTCCGAACACAATCTGAAAATTGAACACTCTACTCACTCACGCACATGATGACATTCTGGCTACAACTGCCTAGCAGAAGTAGCCACAAAAATTATACTTAGGACACAGTGCAGTGGTAGTTCAACGTGAGGGTTCGAGGGTGAGTTTTTTTTCCTTTCCATAACCCATTTCTGCCATTTATCCCCCGGGGAATAGAACTTTGAGCAACCAAAAATTTAAAAAAATGTCTAAAGCCTGGGGATTTGCCTGGGTGTGAGGGTTCGAATCGACCGATCTGTTACTATAAACCTCTCACCTCTTCTCCCCCTGCTTGGGACAAACTCGAAATTCAGACAGTAATTGCAAATCCCGGGAACTTAAATTATCAAAATGCAAGACAACTAAGCTTACCTTTTGTATCCATTAGCCACGTCGAAGGAATAAAACCCAGAATTGGACCAATTGCTCCAAATGAAGACAACAGGAGAACGGTCCATGTTTCCCAACCAAATACAACTCGGCAAGGTCTCTGGATCGGACCCCAAGTATTCCACATGAAGTTCGACAAGATCGAAGTAAGAGTAAACACAAATAGAATATACCACCGGCGTTTGTACACTTTACATTTCCTCGCATTCCGCCATGACAGGTCTTGATTGTCATCGCCGAGTTGGGGATTATCATTAGTTAAGTCTCCTTGCAAAAGGCTACTATTTTCGTCTTTGTCCATCTTATCACAACAACGAGACGAGACGTTGACTTCACTTCTCTTTTTCTCACTGAAAAATATTGCGTGACAACCAACATGCACTGTTTGGCCGTGGGAGAGCTGCGTTCGAGATTAGAGATTTCGAGCCCAGAGTTCTTATCATTCAGCGGTGAGTCGCTGGGAGAGACTCTTGGAAAATGAGGCATCAAGGAAGGCTAGGCCGTTTGCAGAACAATTGGAATCTCCTCCCTCCTCCCTCCCACGCGAAAATAGGCCTCAACCTCGCCCAGATCTCAGAAGCGAAAATCGTTCCTACGAAAACCTCCCAACTCCCTCTAAATCCATGGGCTTTGAGGCATGACTACTGGTTATTTATTTATTTATTTATTTTTTGGTATTCTCCACTTGCACACACCTAAATGTTTTACCGGCATAACTTCCAAATATAAACCCAAACAAATTCATGACATAATTAGTCCGTCCAAATGAGTCCAACAAAAGAGATCTCAACAGTTATCAGCTAAAAAAAAAAAAAAAATCGGGGAAAAGCAAATAGTAGAAACCAATAAAGTGTATCAGTTCAATATTGCTTACTGCTTGAACATTACTCTGGTCTGTAAAAGAAGTGACGGAGGGGTCGGAGGGGCCCAAACCCTCCCACCACCCTTGTTGGCGAAAATAGTTAGGCTCAAAGAGTCAAAAACTTTTGGCCCCGCCCCGCTTTAAGGCCCACAGGGCTAGCAATATTTTCTGGCCTACGCCTTATAAAAAGGTCTGTATCCGCCATTGAAGGGTGTGTACGATACGATTGAAAACTACGGTCCATTCATTAATTATGCAGTGGCAGATCTAGGGAAGGGGCCCGGGGGACCGGCCCCCACCCTTATTTTGGGTAAAAAAAAGAAGAAATCACAGAAGGAAGAAAAGCCGGCAGGGCAAGCAAAACAAAACCGGCCTCCCCCTTAGCTCAAGGTCTGGATCCGCCACTGCTATGATATTGTACTAGTAGTAATCAAAGATTAGAACAGTGCGTTCGTGCACGTACTTTTCCTGTTTGGTCTACTTTGAGGTCGTTCGAATGGCTCGATAGAAAACTAAGTTTGCTGGAATGACAGATAGCGATCTGCACGTGGAACTAGCGATGAATAGATTACAGCCTGCGGTAAAAGTGTTCTTTGTGGAAGAGAGCACGGCAAATCTCAAACGACTAAAGCGAAAAAAAACAAAAAAAACAAAACAAAACAAAACAAAACAAAACAAAAAAAAAACAGTCGAGATGGGAGTTGCAGGGAAGGGGGGCGGCGGCGTACGAAGTTGGAGATGAAAAGAAACTAGCAGAAACTGAAAGTTAGCGAACATGTAAATCATTGATAAAAGTGTTATCACCTCCAGGGATCCGCTTTGTGCTGACTCTCCAAAATGCCCACTACCAAGTGAAATTCCCATTTAAGAGGCGTTTAATTGTGCAAAAAATTGAACTTTTAATCGTTACGCTTGAGTTACAAGATTACAAACTAACTAGGCTTCCAGATACACTAGGATTCATCAAACCGAGTTCACTGAAACGATAACCCTGAAAAACCTGAATCTGTCTGCCTCCCATTAGAAAAAGCTCTGCTTAACTGCCCTGACAGTGATATGACAGAAACGCCGTGACATTAAAAAAAAAAAAAAAGCTTAGCTGCCCTGAAAGAGTGATATGAAAAAAAAAAAAAAAATGATTTCAGTTTACAAGGCTAAAAAAGAGTTAAAAATGAAAAACACCGAACGTTTTGAAAACTCTTTTTAGCCTTGTAAATAGAAATGATTTTAAAGTCAAGGCGAATATTATGAACAACAAAAAAAAAAGCTTAACCACTATGACAGAGAGACGGCTCCCGCTATGAAAACCGGGGCTTTTCAGCTATCCCTACAAAAGCACGATTAAAACCTCGTGGGGGTACCCGGGATAAGTAGGTGGGGCGGGGTCACTGAAAAAGTAGTGCCGAGCATGCTAGATGGAGATTTTGACAAAAACGTTTTCTTTCAGAGGCAATTATAGAAATCGTAGCTCAAGTAAAGTTTCGTCCTGAAAAAGTAGAAATTACCACAGTCAGGAAGCAATTCTCTGAAAAAGAAATAAAAAGTGTCATTTTTTGACAAACAATAGACTGCAAGGCTGATACTACGTAACAGACGTTTCGAGACACCAACATGACAAGGACCGATAAAGCAGGATCGCTACAGTGGACAACTGTTTCGTCTTTCTTGGGACTCGCCAGCTCCGTATCCCGTTCACTATATCATGATCCGTTCTTTGTACTTGTCGTATGCTGTCCCTTGCAATTTCTGGTTTCTCAATTTTTGACTTATTCTTGTCGGTGTTCTCGGTTTACTTTGAAATGTACCATAACAGCTCGCAAGTTTTTCTATACCGATTTGAGATGGAAGACCATAAGTGTTACCAACAAATGCAGTTTTTTTTAAACTCCGTACAGGTACTATGAGCGTCCCCGACAGGGCGTAAGACAGTCCGTTTCCTAAGATACTTCAGAAAAAAAAGTCTTAAAGAAAAAAAAAATGAAACTTAAAACCAAAATTCACTGAGCTTGAAATTATTATCAACGGTGAGATACGAATTGTGAAAGATGCTAAAACTCAAGTTAATTTCAGTCATTTAGCTTGGGTATAATCTCTGGTATTGCCAAGCTACGGAACTTACTAATACTCGTTCTAGCGTACAAACGAAAATAATATAGCAATAGTCTGCGCGCTTAGACCTCGTCCATCTGTTGTTGATAAAGTTGTGTAAATTGTAATCCTGATGGAAGGAACTAAGCAATTTAGAAGGCGTTCGAATTAGCAGGTTAAAACGACAGTAAAATCACGATATATAACTTTTTGGCGCATTTTCTATGAAATATATGAATGCGCCTTACGTACATGCGATACATTTTTTTTTATAAAAAAAAGGAATAAAAATATACTAGGTAAACTAGCCAACTGCTTTGATTTTGTTAAAAAGTATAAAATGCGAACTATACGAAAAAAGATAGAAGTTTACAAAAGTACAACTAAAAGGTATCTCACTATAATACCCTACAAAATCTATAAAATGTTTGTACACTTTCTTTATAATACACTGCACTTCAAACAACTAATTCTAAACGGTCCATTAGAAGTTATCTGGGGAAATCAGTTGATTTTACGTGCACCATCGTGAGGTTGAAAATTGTGGCTAGATGCAAACTGAACTCATTCAAAAACCAAAATTACAACTAAGAACACATTGACAAGCTTGACAACCACAAAGGTTAGGTTGCCGACATAGTACAACATCTTAAAGCGACTTTTCCAATCTATTTCAGCCTAAGATTACGTTGCAAGTGTCTTTTCCCTACAACAAATCAGCAATTAAAGGAAGCTCGCAAGCCACTAACTCGTCATACAGATCTCCCACACTTCTTATGTATCTTTGGTCTCGACTATAAGCCAGGGCAGCGTCACATGGGTTCAATACTCGCTTGTCAAGATAACGGATCTCTGCTGCACTCAAGCCCAGTCTCTCTGCAAAAGGCTTCCACTCATCACCACCTAAAGTATGCAAAAATGTTTGCTTTTTCGTTTTGTTCCGGTTTTCTTTTCTCAGCAAAAGGCAAACATTTCATATTAGCGTCTGAACGATATTCTTTTAAGAAATACAACAAAAAACTTTCTCAAATTCTGCAACATGTCTTTATCACATGCCTTTGACGAATACAAACAATTATTAGGCTTGAAAGACGTTGCATAATCGTTATTGGCGTTATTACTAGAATTCTACTGGTATACTAATACAAATTGATTTAGCGCATTAAGTGGGTCTTTGTTTTACATTTGGCTTTCGCGCCTTTCATCTAAACAGGTTGAAAATAACTCAATGTGGTACTTGAGCTGGTGCGCAGAAGAAAGTTTAATGGTGAACAGTAAAGACAATAGTTGCCCCTTGGAAATTTGATGTTCTTAAAACGCGCATATTTTCCCTCGAAGCTTCGCTTCTCGGGCAAATAGTTGTTTTAAGAACATCAAATTCCCGTGGAGCAACCATTAACCGATAGTACCTCGACAGATATACCCCATTGTTTAAAGAAAAATCGAGAGCGAATCCAATTGTGAAGTATTCTATGCGTCATATTCCACTTTGATTTTTCCTACGTTCACCGCGGTTCCAAAGAAGTCATTCCATGGAAATGTTTCAAGTTTAAATATTTGCACCTACCGCTCAAGTGGATTGTGATTTCTCTCCTCTGGCGGGCAGGAATAGTTCTAACATCGAGAGTTTCAGGTAACAGAGGACCTAGGCGGAAAAAGTAGCATATTAACGAAAGAATAAAGTATGTAGCATGAAGCAACAAGGAGTAATCTCACCCTCTTTCTTTTCCCACCCTATTAGCCAGTATCCTTTTACCTTTTTGTGAAAAACTTCAGTGCGGATTGCCAAAATAACTTTGCAAATAAATTTTTCGATCAACAATCCACTGGCAAAGATTTGCAAAGAAATGCTGAAGGGGAGTCAAGGAACAGGCCGCCGAAGATACACTAAAACATTCGTTCGAGTCAAACTACGTGAGTGTCGGAAAAGCCTCACCTGTTGTACCAGCAGGCGCGATTTCCCTTAGTTTTTCAACGACATCCAGCCTCTTGGCAGTTTTAGCTTTCATGCAAATGCAGCGAATCAGCCTCTTGGTTTCTGGGTCTGGCTGTTCCAGTGATACTTGCTCCAAGGAAAGACTTTCTTGTAGTCGTGCCAAGACATTATTTGCATCACACGTCTCCAACTGCAGGGCCTCAAGCGCTCCACTTGGCAAGGCAAGGGTTTGTTCACCGTCTTTATAATACGGTTAATAAAATCCCAAGAAAACAATAAAACACAAGAATCAGATTCTATATGTATCGTCAGTGACTTCCTTCCGCAATAGGCATCTTTCAATATATTAAAATTCAGCTTGATAGTGAGGACTAGAGGACACAAGCAAAAGAAATGAATAAACATGGTCGTTCAATTTCCTTTGTTTGTGTCCTCTAAGCCTCACTGCCCAGCTGAATTTTAACA